CAACAAAATAGACAACCTTTATCCAAACTAACCAAAAGGCAGAGAGCGAATATCCAAATTAACAAATTCAGAATTGAAAAGGTAGACATAACAACAGACACAGAGGAAATACAGAGAATCATCAGGTCATATTTCGAAAACCTGTACTCCACAAAATTGGAAAACTTAAAGGAAATAGACAACGTTCTGGATAAATATCACTTACCAAAATTAAATCAAGACCAGATAAGCAAACTAAACAGACCTATAATGGCTAAAGAAATAGAAACAGTCATCAAAAGTCTCCCAACCACAGAAAGTCCAGGACCAGATAGTTTCATCTCAGCATTCTATAAGACTTTCAAAGAAGAACTAATACCAATGCTCCCCCAAATTATTCTACACAATAGAAAGAGAAGGAACAATGCCAAACTCTTTTTGTGGGGCTACAATTACCCTGATACCCAAACCACAGAAAGACATTACTAAGAAGAAGAATTACAGAGCAATCTTACTCATGAACATTGATGCAAAAATACTCAATAAAATACTGGTAAATCAATCCCAAGAACACATCAGAACCATCATCCACCATGATGAAGTCAGCTTCATCCCCAAATGTTAGGATGTTTTAACATACAAAAATCTGCCAAGGTAATCTACCATATAAACAAACTGAAAAATAAAAGCCACATGATCCTCTCATTAATGCTGAAAAAGCTTTTAATGAAATACAACATCCCTTAGGGAACATACCTAAATATAATAAAGGCAATATACAGCAAGCCAACAGCCAATATCAAACTAAATTGAGAGAAACTTTCAGCGATTCCACTGAAATCAGGAACAAAACAAGGTTTTCCACTCTTTCCATATCTATTCAATATAGGTCTTGAGGTTCTAGCTAGAGTAATAAGTCACCAAAAGGAGATCAAAGGAATACAAATAGGAAAAGAAGATGTCAAACTCTCACTGTTTGCTGATGATATGATAGTTTACAAAAGCGACCCAAAAAATTCTACCAAGAAACTTCTACAATTCATAAACACTTACAGTAATGTAGCAGGATACAAGATTAACAAAAAAAAAAAAGTAGCCCTCCTGTACTCAGATGATAAAAGGTCTAAGAAAGAAATCACAGAAATGTTACCCTTCACAATAGCCACAAATAGCACAAAATATCTCAGTGTAACTTTAACCAAATAGGTGGAAGACTTGTATGACAAGAACTTTAAATCTTTGAAGAAAGAAATTGAAGAAGACAGTAAAAAATGGAAAGATCCCCCATGGTCTTAGGTTGGTAGAATTAACATAGTAAAAATGACAATCGTACCAAAAGTAATCTATAGAGTCAATGCAATGCCCATCAAAATCTCAGCAAAATTCTTCACAAAACTTGAAAGAATGGGTACTGGACTTCATATTAAAAAAGCAAAAAATCCAGGATAGCCAAAACAACTTTGTACAATAAAAGAACTTTTGGAGGCACCACAATCCCTGACCTCAACCTATACTAGAGAGCTACAGTACTGAAAACAGCCTGGTATTATCATAAGGACATGGAGGACCAGTAGAACTGAATAGAGGACCTGGATATAAATCCACACACCTTTGAACATCTGATTTTTGACAAAGAAGCAAAATATATCAAATGGAAAAAAGAAAGCATATTTTAAAAATGGTGATGGCATAACTGGATATCAATATGTAGAAGGATGAAAATAGACCCAAATCTATCACCATGCACAAAACTCAAGTCCAAATGGATAAAAGACTCCAACATAAAGACAGCCACACTGAACCTTATAGAAGAGAAAGTGGGAAGTACACTTGAATGCATTGTCACAGGAGACAACTTGCTAAATATAACCCCAGCAACACAGGCAATTAATAAATGGGAACTCCTGAAACTGAAAAGCTTATATAAAGCAAAGGACATGGCCAACAAGACAAAACAACAGCCTACAGAATGGGAAAAGATCTTCAGTAACCCTACATCAGACAGAGGTCTGATCTCCATAATATACAAAGAATTCAAGAAATTGTTCATCAAAAGAACAAATAATCCAGTTAAAAAAGTAGAACACAGAACTAAACAGAGAACTCTCAACAGAGGAATCTAAAATGGCTGAAAGATTCTTGAGGAAATGTTCAACATCCTTAGTCATCAGAAAAATGCAAATCAAAACAACTCTGAGATTCCATCTTACACCTGTAAGAATGGTCAAGATCATAAACACTGATGACAACTTCTGCTGGAGAGGTTGTAGGGAAAAGGGAACACTTCTGCATTGCTGGTGGGAATGAAAGATGCTGCAGCCCCTTTTGATGTCAGTGTGGTGATTTCTCAGAAAATTGGGAAACAAACTTCCTCAAGACCCAGCAATACCACTTTTGGGTATATATCCAAAGGATGCTCAATTGTGCCACAAGAACATGTGTTCAACGATGTTCATCGCAGCTTTGTTTGTCATAGCCAGTACCTGGAAACAACCTAAATAACCCTCGACCAAAGAATGGATAAGGAAAATGTGGTATATTTACACAATAGAGTACTACACTGCAGGAAAAAAACATGGTATCTTGAATTTTGCAGGCAAATGGATGGAGCTAGAAAACATCAATTTTCGTGAGGTATCCCAGAACCAGAAAGAGAATTATCACATGTACTCAGTCCTAAGTGGTTTTTAAACATGAAGCAAAGAAAACCAGCCCACAAATCACAATCCCTGAGAACTTAGACAACAATGAGGACCCTAAGAGAGATATTCATAGATCTAATCTACATGGGTAGTAGAAAAAGACAAGGTCTCTTCAGTAAATTTGGAGTATGGGGACATTGGGACAGTGTTGAAGGGGAGGAGAGAGGTTGGGAGGGGAGCAGAGAAAAATGTAGAGCTCAACAAAAATCAATAAAAAAAAGAAAAAAATGACATCTTGAATTTTACATGCACATGGATGCAACAAGAAAACACTATCCTGAGTGAGGTAACCCAAACTCAAAATGACAAATGTGGTATGTACCCACTCATATGTGGATACTAGCTATAGACAAAGAATATTGAGCCTATAGTACGAGTCTAAAGAAACTAAATAATAAGTTGAACCCTAAGAAAAACATATATAGATCTACTGAGAATGTCAAAATAGACAAGATAGCCTGATAAGTTGGGAGCATGGGTGTGGGTGGAGAAGGTAAGATGGAAAGGAAAGAATACGGGAGAAGGGGAGAGGTAAAGGGATCTTGAGGAAATGGAATATTTGAGATGGAGGAAGGACAGAGATGAGAGCAAGGAAAGAGATTTCTTGTTTGAGGGAGGCATCATGGGGTTAGCAAGAAACTTGGCAGTAGAGAAATTCCCAGAAATCCACAAGTATGACCCCAGCTAAGACTCTAAGCAATAGAGGAGAGGGGGCCCAAACTGGCTTTGCCCTATAGGCAGACTGAAGAATATCTTAAATATCACCATAGAACCTTCATCCAGCAACAGTCAGAAACAGAGGCAGAGACCCACATCAGTGCACTGGACTGACCTCCCAAAGTCCAGTTGAACAGTGAGAGGAATGAGAGTATGAGCAAATAGGTCAGGACAATGATGGGTACACCCACTGAAACCGTCTGCCTGTGATAATGGGAGGTCACCAGCACCACATGGACTTGGAAGAAACAAGCATAGAACCAAACTAGTTACTCTGAATGCGGTTGACAGTTGCTTGGCTGTGGCAGACTAGGGTACCACTGGCAGTGACACCAGGATTTATGCCTACTGCTTGTACTGGGTTTTTGGGAACTTATTCTCTTTGGATGGATACCTTACTCAGCCTAGATATAGTAGGGTGGGCCTTGGACCTTCCGCAAAGTAATGTGCCTTACCGTCTCTGAGGAGGGGATGTGGGTATGTTGGGGGTTATGTGAAAGTAATGGGAAGAGGGGAGGGATTGGGAACTTGGATTCATATGTATAATGATAAAATATAGCTATTTTTCTTTAAAAAACAATGGGAGAATTCTTTTATGAAATCAGAAATAAAGAAGATATAGAAAGATTCCCCAAGATTCATCATGGGCTCTCTATAACTTTAAAGATAAAGGAGCATAATTCAAATTGAATATAGGCTAAAGTAAAACTTCTGATCAAGCTTAAACATGAATTTTCTGTCTCAGGTGCTATCATTTTTTAATAAATAAAACGAAACTTATTTGAAAAATATGCTCAGATAATAATATGACATGAGCTAAACAGTAACAGAGCATGGTGCATATTGAGAATTATAGTTAGGCAGATAAGTTGATCTTCATGAACTCCAGTCCAGGCTTCTCTTAAACCCAACATGGCATAGACTCCTGATCAAATAATAGTTGCTACAAAATTGGTATCTAGTTTTTCATCCATTTTCATGGGAGATTTTTTTTCTATTCTCCTGGTGATGTCATAGGAGTTTGATTATGTCAGAAATGTCACCAACACCTGGTTTCCAGGCCACATAGTTAGATGCTGCTATTCTAAGTGTTTTATGGGCATGGTCATCTGATTGGATTGGAATGCGTTAGTGAGCTTTATGTTGAGTAGTTTCTAGAAAAACAGGAAGCAGATAAGGTTTCTAGAAGCTCTCTGAGAACATTGTAAACAGTTATCCTCAAAATACATTTATGATGGGAGAAATATGCCTTAAACTACTCTGCATAGCATGTCTCCCTTAGATGATCAAATTAAGCTGGTCTTCAAACAAACACGTGGGTAATCTCTACGTTACTGGACTGTACCACAAGGAAGGAAAAGAAAAATGGAAATTTCCTTCCTTATCAGTGTAATGTTTACAAATATGTAGATATTTTCCTGGATTAACCAGGTTTGTGCTACTAAAAGGACAACAGGATCTTATAAGCCATGAACAGCCTAGTCTCTATCTTCCTATTTGCATACTTCATCCCCAGAAACCACAGATGGCTCACAGTTGTTTTGAAGAGAAGTACTTATGAGACGAGCAGCAATTAGCCAGAGACTGAGATTAGACAGCAAAATGGATCGTCATGTATTGACATTCAGCTTTCTGCTAATTAGTGTCACAGGTAAGAAGGAGGAGCACATTTAAGATCAGAATCCACAATCTGAGGAAATTTGAATATTGAATAAAAAATTTCATTTTCTTTCTTCTGAACATTAGGTTGTATGAAGTTATTTTTATATTTCTATGTTTACTAACATTTCGTTTTTCTTTGTTTTCTCCCGATAACAGTGTCTGAGGGAGAAATTGTTCTCACCCAGTCTCTAGCATCCATGACTGCATCTCAAGAGGAGAAGGTCACCATGACCTGCAGGGCCAGTTCAAGTATAGTCTCCAGTCACTTGCACTGGTATCAGCAGAAATCTGGAGGCTCCCCTACACTCCTAGTTTATGGCACATCCAAACTGACTTCTGGAGTCCAAGCTGGCTTCTGTGGCAGTGGGTCTGGGACCTCTTACTCTCTCGCAATCAGCAACTTTGAAGCTGAAGATGTGGCCACTTATTTCTCTCAACAGAGGCATAGTAGCCCACCCACACAGTGATAGAGTCTTGAACAAAAACTCTTTGCCTACCTGGAGCACAGATACTTCCTCCTAGAGATGAAACACGGCCTTATGTTCTATTGCAGTAATCCATAAAATAAACGGCAATTTACAGACTACTTACTAGGCCATTTGCAGCTTTTGGTAAATTAGTGTCTCCATAATATCCCACTGTACTTCACTGTTGCTCTTGTTTGGCCACCATTTGTTTATTCTCTGTTTTGGTTCTATTTTTGTTTCTATGATTTGTTGATGGGAAGTGTAGCAGGCATTTCCCTTCAGCTGTTTTACAGGAGATCTCATAGCAGTCTTCACACTTGGTTTATTCTAATTACACTGATTGCAGGATCTTATCTGGCAGGTTGTTCTCCTTCAAGATAGTCAGTTCCTAAAAGTAAACTGCCTCTGTTATTCTTCTAAAAATAGTATCTATCCTCTTCTGACTTCTGATTTTCATTAGCAGACCTTCTGTCCCACTTATGGTATCCTGTTGATTTATGCTTGAAATGATTGTTTTTCCAAAAATTGATTTATGACTGACACTTCAGGCAAAAATACGAATTAAAAAAAAATTGGTTCCTTGTTTTTGCTTCTCATGAAGATGCCAATGAATTCTCAGGGCTTTTCCTCCTGTTACCCGTATGTCTCAAAGATCTTTCTTTGAGGAAGATTGGTATTTAAAATACAAGTACTTCATTTGAAATCATTGTATGTAAATATTTGTGTGATAAATAAATTCTGTATTTATAGTAACTTATTCATATTTATTGAATTTCTAACTTAACACACTGTGGTAGTAAAGTTTCTAGCCATGACAATTATCTATTTTGACAACAGAATCGCCATCAACTGCAAAGCTAGTTCCCACGGAAAATTGGGTTCTCTAATTAATCTGTTGATTGCAAGACACCCCCGTTTGTCCTGAAGTATGACATCTCGATCCAGTCTTCATTAAAGGAATAGTGAGACTTGTACACAAATCACAGAGTAATCCCATCTTGTGTCAGGTCACCACTAACTTGTTCTGGATGATGTAGGGATAGAAAACAAAGCCATTCTTCCAAGAATAATTGAAGTTTAGAAGGTAATCAGCACCCCTGATGAACTGGAACTGAATTCAAATGAATGAATGATTTCCGCAAGATTGTTATGCCTCCTTGCAGTTGCACCTGTTTCTTTGACACTAGTAATGACATAAACTGAGGTTTATTTTCATCTGGTTGTATACCTGAAATCATAAAAAATAAGAGCTTACTGGGAAGCACTGTGCTGAGTCTGTGAATGTGAGAAAAACAACTCTTCATATTTTTATAAGAATTGACTTCTCAGAAACAGTTTTTGTCACCAAGAGAGACTAGTAACCTCATTTGCTGGGGAGTTCATTTCCTCACAATTCAGAGGCCAATGCATATTCTGTACCTTCACAGGAATTCCGGGAACAAGTTTACACAGAGTTCAGTGACAGTTTTCCAGGAAGATTTTACCCTCATATTCTGTTGCATGGAAAACATCAATACCCTGTGTGGCTTGGACACAACAGTGTTATATTTCTAAACTTCTTTCTAAACACCAAACCATCTGAATCATCCATAGTCATGAACCGGAGGCTAGCCCGCTATTGTGAAAAACTGGTTTTACTGTTCACATGAAGAAATATATCTCAATGATACTAAAATTAACTTTACACACTAATATCTCACACTACTATTTCAGAGGTTAAAGAGAAAGCATAATGTAAAGTTCTTATTTTCTCTTCTGTAAATCATTCATGTTATGTATAAAAATACAATCATCGGGCAGTTAGGACTTTTGAGGAACTACTTTGCTGAGGCTTGAGTACCCAGCAATTATAAGACTAAACAACTTTATTTTTTAGTGAAAAGTATGAAATAGAAAAAGAAAACACTCTGTTGTATTTGTATTTAGTCATGTATTATAAGCTAAGTATTTCTTCCAGGAAGATGTATACATCTATATATCCCATACCATACAGAGTAAAGAACAAAAAAAAAAATCTCCATTTCTCAATCAAGTGTTTGAAGGAGGGAATTTAAGGAAAACAACATCCCCTCCCCTCAGCAGATGAGGACCTCACAGTAGTAGAGGGAGAAGACTGAGTATAAAGTGTGGTAATATGAGTGGTGGGGCTGCGTCCCCAGCACCCCGGCTGCCCACATGGCTAGCTTATGCTCCGAAATAACAACACACAAACTGTATTCATTTAAACACTGCTTGGCCCTTTAGCTCTAGCCCCTACAGGCTAATTCTCACATCCCAATCAACCCATCTCTAATAATCTGTGAGCACCGGTCTTACCGGGAAAGGTTCAGCATGTCTAACCTGGTGGCTTGCTTCATCGCGTGCATCTGCCCGGGAGAGCAGAGCATGGCGTCTCTCTGAGGTGTCTGCACCCGAGAGGAGAGCTGTGGAGTCTGAGCTCACTTCCTCTTCCTCTTCCTCCCAGCGTTCTGTTCTGTTTACTCCTCCCACCTATCTTCTAACCAATAAAATGGGCCAAGGCAGTTCCTTTATTAGCCAATGACCTTCCTCCATCAATAAAGAGACAGAGGTCTCTCAGAAAGCATGCACTGAAATATCAGGTGCAAACGAGGACTACATCACTGCCTTTTTTATACACTATTTTTATTTTTAAATCTTCCCCTTCATGTGTAGTGAACCATCTGTGTGCCTGGTGTCCAAAGATTCAAGAAGAAATTATTAGATCACTTGAACTGCCATTACTGATTGTTGCAAACTACCATGTGGGTAATAGGAACTGAATCTGGGAACTCTGCAAGAACAGCAGCTACTCTTAATCTCTCAGTCATTTCTTAAGATGTGATATTCTTCTACTTTAAACAAAGAGAATTTATAGGTTAAAATTAAAGAAGAGAAATAGCATTCTAGTGTGGAGAGGTCATAGAAGAGGCAGAAGGAAAAGGCTGAGGTGATAGACATCTGGTTGGCAAGGAAAACAAGACTGACAAGGTTTTTAGATCTGGAGATATACTCGTTTACCTCTGATAAGAAGCAATTACAAGGAAAATTGAAAAAATTTGATATATGACACATAAAATCAGGCTTCAGGTTTTTGGTAGAATCTATTCAATCAAAGACAGAACAATCCCATTTTCATGATACAGAACAAAAGGGCTCACTCTTTGGCCACAAATAAAATATAGAAGGTGGATACTGTTGAACTGCTTAAAGACTTTAAAATCCCACAAATTTATTATAGTATTCAACATAGGAAAAAGATCTTTAAGAAAAAGGTGTTGAAGAAATTACAACTAACATTCAAAGTGTGTGAAAAAATTGAAGAATCTTTCTCTGTGATTAAAGAAAGCTGCTGAGGCAAGCCATGTGTCATTGGTGTCCCCTAATGGAGACATAAAGAGGACATTTGTGGTCCTGTAAATGTGAATCCTGCATTGCCTTGGAGACTGAAGGATGCTGGGAATGCCAGGGCCATGTAATCCCTGCCAAGGACAGCTCATTACATGGAGTAGATCCAGCCAAAGGGGGGAAAAAGTGTGTTGCAGTCAACAAATCTGAAAGGACTTGGAGATCTGAAGAGCACTTTGAAATGAGAGATGCAGATGCAGACTTTGGAGGTTGCTCAGGTGATTGTTTCATTCCAGTATTTTCTCACTATGTGTCCTTCCCTATATCTTGTAAAGGTAATGTATATTATGTTCCATTATATGTTAATAGTATGTGGTCTCTTTTCTGATTTTGATTTGAAAGGGGATTACAGTTAAGAGATTGCATAAATCTCAGAAGAGACTTTAAATTTAAGTAAATTTGATACAGTTATAAACTATAGGGACTTTTGATTTCTAACTGAATACATTATGATATGATTAGAACCATTTAGGGGCTAGGGAGTGGAATGTGATAGTTTGAAAGAAAATGTAACCCAAAGAAGTGACACTATTAGGAGATATGGCTTTGTTGGACTTTGGATGACCTTGTTGGAGGAAGGGCTGTCACTATGGAAGCAGGATTTGAAGTCTCATAGTATGCTCAACACCTAGTACCTCAGATCAGTTCCTATCATCTGCATATTAAGTTATAAAACATTCAGCTCTTTCTCCAGCACCATGTTCTCCAGCATGAGGTAATATCTCACAATGATAATGGACTGAACCTATGGACAATAAGTAACCCAATTAATTGTTTTCCTTTAAAATAGTTGCTATAGTCATGGTGTCTCTTCACAGCAATAGAAACCTAAATATGGTCCTTTCCAGTTAAGCCTTGATGAGAATTCTAATAATGTCTGTGCAGTTGATCACATTTCCATGTCACTCATTACGTGTGCACAGACACTATTACAAATAGATGGTCTTCAGAAAAGTTAGAAAAACATGACCCAGGACACTCATGGAAAATCAGTTTTGAAGTTTTTGTAGGATGAGTGCTCATGAGAGTTTCCACTTTTCTAAGTGCTTGACAATTTTACAGTAACAGATGATATGGCTGCAGGGTTGGTGATATTCCCAGACTGAGCATATGATGCTAAATATGTTCAAACTTAAGAACATAATAAAGATTGGGGAGGTGTAATCTCACCAATAACCCGAAAAAATCCACTGTAAAAGTTGGCAGGTGGGCCATGCTGAGGGGACCTGAGAGGTGAGTAAGTGGCCACATAGCCAGACAGCTGGAACTGCTAATTTCTGGGACCTTACCAGGGGGACACAATCCACCCCTCCCCCCAAATCCCTAAGGTTTCCTGGCTATCTAGTGGGGTATGTTCCTGCTGCTGGCTTTCTTTACACCATTTCACCCTGCCCCCAAGCCTGTCTTTTATTCCCTGAGATCATTGGAATCCCCAACACAGCCTTCTTCATGGCTAAAAGGGTCAGAGAGCCAGCGGGGAGTGTTTCTGCCTCTGGACCTTCTGTCTTCCATCCCACCCTGCCCCCAAGCCTGCCTTTTTATCTGTGAAGTCCTTGGAACCCTGCAAGAGACCCTGCTGTCATGCTAAGGGGACTGGAGGGGTTCTTGGAACCTTCCAACACAGCCTGCATCAGTGCTGAGGGGACCTGAGAGACTGCTCCAGTGCTAAGGGGACCTAAGAGAGGGCAGATCAAAAAAGCTCCCAAATATTCAGTCAGCCACAGCAAAGATTGGACCAAAATGCCAAGACGCTCCTGGCCTCATTTGAAGGAAGAGATGAGTAGGCACCAATGCAAAATTTCTCCAACATCCTGAAAAGCAACATGGTAATACAAGAATCCAGTGAACATGCAACAGGAAGACTTGAATATCCTAACCTAGAAGAAGTAGAATAAACTGACTCTAAACATAACCTTATAAAAATGATGGAGACCTTTAAACAGGAAGTGAAAAACTCCCTTAAGGAAATGGAAGAGAAGGGAAAGAAAAAGT